CAGTTCATAGCCGTGGTGCTTCTGGGGGGAAAATCGCGCAATTAAGGCTGAACTAATGATTCGGGAAGTGGATACGGGTTAAGTGGAATTATCTGGTGATTAGCGACGGTTATTATGGGTGATTTAGTCCTCATCTTTATTTGAATAGATGAATCGCCCGCGTTAAAAGCGTATTACGCGTTTAATCAGATAAAGAGGAGTATGTAAATAAAGAACTTTCTCTTTGAATGTAAATAGCCAAAATAGATCTGTATTTAGCTAAAGTTATATGCACTGAAAGAAAAGAGTGTTTGAAATTTGTAATCATCACATATAATTACATGGTAAAATAATTATAAATATAGTTTCATTTTTTGATAGTTATTTGATTGCTATATTGTTAGTGATAATAATTATATTTATAGTTCTACATATAAAAAAATTGGCACACTGAGAATGACAATTATTATTATTAACATTATATAACAGTAATAACTACAAAAAAATGTAACTTCTAATCATAATTATTTTACTATGCAATCGTAGTTACAAATACAAAACACTTTTCTTTCAATGCTATAAGTTATAGGTATATAGTATCATTTATCACATTGGCGAACGAAGAAAGACTACGATTTCTTGAGTCCGCGGGGAAGGAAAGAAAATAATTCGTTTTGTGCTTGAGACGAGCACTTATGCAATTAAGATTGTGATTTGAAACTACATACATAAGAGAGAGGCCCTATTGGCAAATGCCACTTGTAAAAGGACTTTAACTGACGATTAGATTGAATAAAAGATAATTCAATTTCTCCGATTAGACACGTCGCGGAAGTGACAGTGTTAATACTCGGTCAACAGCGATTTACCGTTCAGAAAACTAATTGGAGTATAAATGAAGATGTTTATGTCTCTATGATGATCGTTAAAAGCTTCATTTTCTAAATTTTTTATATAGGCACATCTCTTATAGAAAGCTCGATATTTAAATAATATTTGCATCTCAATAGACTATGTGTTGTATATACGTTTTAAACGCGTATAGAAATAAACCGACGTGGAGAAGTGGCGGCATAATTTCCAAGGAATGGTGGAACACCGCGGTTAGTAACGATCGGCAAAGCTCGTTACTGGTGTTTAACTATCATTTAGGCAGGATTAAAGATAATCCAGTCGGTGTCGTTGGAGATATAGCGAAAGCGTGAGCTACCACTTACGGTCGTCGCGGTAACTCCCGATTAAGGTCGATTTATTACACGGCGAAGGGTATCCCTTCTAAAAGGGGGAATGTGAGCGGAGATAGGGGAAGGCCGCTAAATATACCTCCCGGTAGGCTTATCGTGGGTGACTATTATAACTCCCGCGGAAATAAAGAGTTTTCCATTGAAGATATGCTGACGGTTTATAAAAAGTAGCCTATTATCTTTCTAAAAGTAAAGAAAAAGAATAGAAACTCGAGTTTTCATGCACGGAGTAACAATTTCTTTGAAAGTAAGCGAAGTCTATCGAGAAAAATCTTCTGTTTTAAATCAATAAAAAGATTCAACAAGAACGACATTTTGGTGAGACGAAATAAAATTTTTAGTAACTAGGTAGACACAAAAATTATGATAACTATGCAGATCTGTTTGATCTTACCAAAATGACGTTCTTTTTAGATTCATTTGTTAGTTTAATCAAAACATTTTTTTTTTCAGTGTAAATACTGATCTGAAGATAAAGGGCATAATAAGCAGGTAAAATCTGCTCCCGCACCAATCGAGCTCAAGTTGGTGTCATTAGTTGGGTACCCCTGAGATGTAAAACTTCCCCAAATATTAGCCTTGAAAGCGAAATAAAAAAAGTGTTATTTTTTTTGGAAACGACTGTATTAATTTTAATGAAAAAAATATATGTTGTAAACATCGTTAAAGACAATTTTTTGAAATTTTTACGATGCCGCGGCGCGACATACCTATTCCTGCATAAGTTTGTATTAATGCACGTTAAATCACAGCTATACGTATGTGTCCGCACGTATGCGCGTGATCGAGTGTCCCCGATGAATAATGTCGTTCGTGGCGCGCAAAATATGCCAGTGCCTATAGGCTCCAGTCGGCCTCGGGCAGCATCGTCGAGACTTTGTCGGCCGACGGCGATAATGTCGGAGGTGGTAGACTATACGTAAGGTCAAAGGCGAACTCGAGAACTCCCTTTACCTGAAGGTTCAAAGGAGGAGGTCGGGCATTGTTAGTAGCGACTTATTGAGGGAGAGCGGATCTGGCGCCCGAGAGAGTCGCCGGCACGGTGAATTATCTCATATCGACATTACGGTTCATTGTAATCGGCTGCGGGATTATCGATTTTTCATTTATAACCGAGAGAGGCGAGGGGCTTCCTGCACATCGATCAAGGCCAAAGGCGCGTATTTTTAGCGACCGTGCGCACTCGGGAAGTATGAAATTTGCGGAAACGCGAAAATACGCTCTCACTCATGCAATGAAACAAAAATAGCGTCGCACTACCGATTAATCCGTAAATTACACTTTAAACTAGTTTACAAAAATCTGTAGTATTATATATGTGTATCGTGCGACAGTCGTAAACTATAAGTTTATAAATATAATAATTTTATCATCCTTTAGGCGGATAATTGAGATTTGCTATCTTAATAAAACAACTCCATTTAAATTCTTTATAACATGATTGAAAAGTGAGATATTAAAATTAAAAAATGCATTTTTCGAAATACATGCAATACGGGCATGACTTCTGATCAGAATTTCAAGATAACGTTAATCTTTTCTTACAAAAAAAAATATCAAATATTGTAGAAATCTTAATTAAACTTCGATTATTTTGAAAACTTGACATGAAATTTAACTTGCGGTTATTATTTGCAATACATCCAAAAATCTATAAAAAACAACACCTTGTTTCGTTCAAAATAATTTTTGACTGTAAACTAGTGTTGAGATTACCGTAAAAATAAAAATAATTTATGCTGCGCGCGACAAGATTGCGATGCGGATCTTCGGACCGAAATAATATTACTGTAATCGAGAAAGATACTATTAGTTTATTTTGTCGGATAGGGGGATTAGTTGGCGTTGAATAACAATTTTTAATTTACTCGTACAATCCCCACAGTTTACTTTTTTTGCTAGTCACGTAACTAACTGGCTTCTAACCAACAAAGACTGTACTGCCCCGAGCAATAATGTTGAAGCTGCTCAGCTAAGTCAAAGGAATGTTCAAACCCGTAGGTGAAGAGCAGCTCGACTTCAAGCAGCGTGCTCAAGCTACTTTGACGAAGTTGTTCTTAGAAAGTTCCAAAGAACGATGTTAACAACGAATAGCATAAATAAATTCTTTTGAAGTCCTTCAGAGAGTCCACCGTCATTTGACATTGGTAAATGATCGTTAAATAAGATGAAAGGAAAGGATACCTTCAAGTCGAACAGTATAACCAGCGTAAAGTAAAGGTTTCAGAGGTACACATGAAATTTAATCGGCCTCAAAAGCAATTGCTAACTATGGTTAATTGAATGTTCTCTGTTTGCCTATTTGTTACAAACAGAATCACGATTTAAAAGGAGAGAGTTAATTAAACTACACTTAGAGCTAATTGATGTTAGTATGAAACCGTCCATTAGACAGTTAATATGAACTTTGTTTAATAATTTCACACTACAGCTACCACAAAAGTCATTTTCATATTGCATGTATGCAGCTTCTCTCTATGACCAACTTGGTTTAAATATGCTCTGTGTACATATCTATATGTAGATATCTATACTGCTTTCTCTCTCTCTCTCTCTCATCTGCAGACTTCGTACCTATACATGTTTCTGATATCTGGTTCATTCTATTTTAGAAGCCCTATGGCTTATGCGCTCCCTACAGGATGTAATCAAAATTGTGATACAATCTGGAAAAAAAAAACGGAGGAAACTTATTGTACCTCATCTCTTGTCTTATTTCTTTTTACTTATTTTTACACGAGATAGTTCTTCTTTACCGACTACACGTAATTTTACAGTAAAAACTTTCTACACCTCATACACGATTCTATATAAATAAATTCTTGAATATAAAAAACGTTTTTTTGTGTGCACCAATTTCAAATTTCACTTGCTCTATCTCTTCTTATAACCGACAGGCTATAAACGAGACATATCGTCAAGATGGTTGCAAGATGACTTTCGATAATCGACTGAAGTGTTCGACATGATATCGATTACAAACAGCAGCCCATGATGTATCGGGACATCGCGGACGATCGCGCACATAAAAGCACATCTACAGCATCCTGGATAAGAAGTATCTTTAAGAGCGACACCTCGTTTATATCCGATACTTAACTTTGATATCTACACTTTTTCGCTTTTTCAGAAAGACATTCTCGTGACTATCTCGATCTTTCGCGCGCAAACTGGGAAATGAATTAGTTGAATAATGCTATCTCGTTGATAAATGATCCTCTCTTAAATCGATAAGATGGATGAAAAACATACGTACGATTTCCTTGAGCGATATGATGAAGTCAGAGTGACAAAACTTTATTTTCTCTACCATTTTAGCAGAAAACATTTACCTACTTGTAAAATAAAAGCAAAGCTTTTATAGACCATATAGCTTATTTGCCATTTATCATCTAAGATCTCGTACGAAAATGGAATATGCTTGGAACGGGATTATTACTGTAATCGATCCAACTATATTACTTCGCGTCAAACTCTGCAGTAACACTCTACATCGGTTTCTGGAAGACGATTAATGCGTAATTCGGACGTGGCGAATGATTAATGAATAATCATAATCAATTCCGGAACACATATCTCTAATAAACGTAGCGCTGTACGTAAAGTCGAATAATGAAATGGAACGAGTTAACTCGATCAATGAAAACGAATTTAATCAATAACACGTAATGAATAAGAGAATATTTCTCGTATGTCCGTCTCAATATTTCGATGAAACCGGTATTTGCCGTAGGAATTATTTCATCCGTTGAACGCTGATATATGACTAAAGCTCACCACGAGGAGGACACATCGATTTTCAGAAGTTACGCCGCCGCATCCGAGCCAGCTACCGATGACAGCTAGTACACCTGCGACGATCAAGGCGTAGGCCAAAGTAGGATACGTCGACGTGGACATCAGTGACACGTAGCTGTGCTTCGCCGCTACCGTCCAGATACCGATGCCACCTACTACCAGTCCCGACAGCTGCAACATATGAACGTGAAATCCTCAATTTAATTTTACGCAATGATGCAATGAAACGTCACGGAACATCCGCCGCGATGTGACTTACGATTTATATGGCCTGCCAACGCACTTTACACAGAGACGAACATTATGCAACTAACAAGGTGACATTATACGAGCAAGTTTTAGAGAATTAATGTACATAATTGAATAAATTATATTTTATAATTGTAATAACTACAAAATTGCTTATTTTACTGTACACAAAGAGACAATTTTTCCGAAATAAAAATTTTAATGTTGACCTAAAAATCATTTTGTTAGATCAAAATAATTATAAATTTTTTGCATAAAAAAAAAGAACTTTTTGGGGCATTACTCATCATGCTTCGGATTCCTACGAAATTATTTTCATCTATTTTTAGCTAAATGTTTAAATACTTCAGTAAGATCGTTCTTTCCGTATATACATTAATTAAGTTTATATAAATTTATACATACAACTTGTATAGATGTTACTTTTATAGTTATTTTTGTCACTACGCCTTTTTCTCTAGATGTAGTAAAGTGTTTCTCGATAATGCGTAACTGGTGCAAATAAGATTTCTCGCTCTTGATACGCTGAACAGTTTTATCATCGCTGATAAAAAAGGAATTTCTCCCGAACTGACTTCTCCCATGTTCAAACTTTGCCTTTTACAGGCAGCATCTTTCTACCCCTTTCTTTCTTTTCACAGAAATAAATTCTCTAATATGACGAAATGAATCTTTTAAAAGTTGACGAAGTGAAACTAAATCTCATTGATCTCTCTCTCTCTCTCTCTCTCTCTCTCTCAAATTCCTCGGAAGAAACCCGGGATTGATTATATACTCGTCCGTCATCTCAGCTGTCGTCGGCATCTTCGAGAAAATCTCTAGGATAATCGCTACCACCGATCATCGGGGAGAACACAGCTAACGGGAAACGAGAGTCGTCGTTCATGTCCGCGGAGAACTTCCGATAGGATCGGTCTATGGACAGTGCGTTTCATTCAATTTCATATCGTGCCTGCACCGGCTTCATCGCGGGCGCAAAGTCGCTCCGATGAGTGCTCGGATATCGTCACCGCCCACGACAGCTGGTACAAGAGAGAGAAAGAGAGAGAGAGAGAGAGAGAATGAATAACGGATATTGGCTCGATAACTACACGCACGAATGCACGTAGGCATTGCGTATACGGGGTGTCCGTTAATTGGCGCCGCGAGCAGAGAGCAAGCGTTTCCCGTTGATGCTGAGTAACATTCCGAGATGTTGCCCGATAATGAATTTTCATTTGAGATCAAAATTTAAAAGATATGGCAGGGATAGTTTAAAAATCACTCAAGTTAACCCGACGCTCTTAGCTTCTTACTAAATCCAGGAAAAAAAAAAAAAAAAGAGTTAAAAGGATTATAGCAAAGTACTTAAACTCATGTCGAGATTACTCTTCCAAGATAACTGTCTCTAATTTCTTTAGAACCGTTCCTTGAAAGTACTCTCTTAGAGCCGTTTCAATTCGTTTCTCTTATCCGTAAGGTACGCAAAAATTCTCGCGCGACTCTTTTTATTATCGGCCCCGTTTTACGCGCGTAACGGAAGTGTCATCGTCAAACGTCACGCATCGCGCCCGATTAAATGCCGCGATTTATCCTGCGGTTCTTTTTGTCCCTCACGCCGGACATCGTTTTTCTTGCAGCGCGATATTTTTTCCCCTTCCTCTCGTTTACGGTGACACACGGACACGCACAATGTTCCCTCGCGAGAGAATGGTCGCAGGTATTCCAGAATATACGAGCCATGCCGACGTAAATATCGGCCGATACACGTGATATTTATACGGTATCGGGGAAATGCGGTTCACGTAGGTTATACCGTGCACTGTCTGGAGAACAATGACTAACTTAGAGAGCGACTAGAGTTCTTCAAATATCACTAATATGCGATTTTATGATTATATACTGCAAAAATTATGTATAAAAAAACGTTCTAATTAAACCAACCGAAGAACCTAACAAGACAGTAACCAGAAATTCTGTTGAGATTTTTCGTTAGTTAATCAAAACATTTTTTTCAGTGGACATCATGCGATAGTCGATACCGAGGGAAAATATGTAAGTTTCAACTGCAACGCTGCACAGAATTATTATTAGAGAACAGTCCATGATGATTCCTACCTAACACTATTTGATTAATTCTCTAATATATACATACAATACGATATTATTTAAAACATATCCAGGAAGGTGGGATTAGATCTGCTTCTTCTATTTATTTATAAACGAAAAAATGTAATAAAGTTTACTAACAAAATAATTATAATAAAAAAGAACGCTTTGATTGACAGAACTGAGGGATCTGCCCCAATCTATATCATTAGAGGGTTAAAACTTTGTGTTTCTTCCATTATTATTAGTCTAAGCAACTCAGAATGATAAATGATATTGATAGTCTGAGATTGACAGAAGTGTATTATTGTATATGTTACACCAATAGCGATTATCATCTAACACTCGGATATTACGGAATCAATGCACGAACATTTGCCAATGGCTGCATAATAATCGATAATGCGCTGGCTGCATTAACCCTAGGAATCGTGACAAGAAATTTTTTGTAGATTCCATTCCATTTATTACGCTCCAATAAGTATCGAAAATCTGTTTGAATATTATTTCCATTCAATTTTACATTCCGAATAAGTTTTCCAATTTCAGATAAGATATACTTATCTGTATCTCATTGCATTTGAATCTTATACGATGTACCTTTTCGGTAAAAATCATAGTAGAGCGGCGCATATATATAACGGAGGACTGTTATATTGGAAATAAACTGATATTATTTGTAAAATATGCGAATGTCGATCGGTATGCGATATTTACGATATTGAGGAATGCGGCTTTAGCGTAAAGCTCATCGATGTTTTAGTTCGAGAGCTGAAATTACCTAGCCTGGAATTTACGGTGTAAATGTGCGGATAATGTGCGACATTGTAACGGCGTATTATGATAATTTGCTTTAGAGCCGGTTCTCTAGCAAGGAATAAAAGTACCGTAATTTTATTCGCAGGAAATACTGTAGTTGTGATATGTATATCGATGACGTGTATAATTGTAGAAAAATAATTATTTAGATGAATAAACCTACTGTTGTGTAATTGCAATGTTCAGATCGATTCGTGACGTGACAGACAAGCGTTGCGATGCGTTCGAATGAATCACTTCGCGGCGAGACAAGAACGCGTCACAGGTTCGTATAGTTTTTCACAAACGATAGGATTATTTCGGGGTATGATATACAAATTTGTGTAATAATGCTACATATTTGATATTTGAAATATGTGCAGTTTTTTTTATACTGCAGGTTTATATATTATACATTTATATGTGGACAAGTTAAAATAAAAAATTAAGGTTATTTATTGACTAATATTGTACAATCATATACATTTATACTATAAATTTTAAAACCTTTTATGCTAAAAGGGATAAAAATGTTGACATTCGACACTGAATGTTTTGTAATAGAAATAGAGGCTCACCCCCGCTCTTTGGAAATATGAAATGTACAGAACGTAATAGTAAGTTAGAAAACCGTGAAAATAGAAAAAAAATTTATTCACAAAACGCTTCAGAGAAATGGATACTGCAGAAAAAAATCAAGCGAGTACAGTTTTATTGAACTTTCAGTATCATATACACAATGTATTTAGCCCACAGGAAAACTAGAGTTTAAAAAGGAAAAAAGTGCTGCAAAGCTGGATTTTTGTAAAGAGATCTACAATAGTGTACTTTTTAAGTACAATATCAAAAGTTCCCATTTGTCGGAGCACAGTCAGTTGGGCCATCTTGAAAAAAGATAATTAAACCCTCTTTCGAGCTTTGCAGCATTTTTTCCCTTTATATCGCCAAAAATTGTCTAGTTTTCCTGGGCTAACCAAAATTGTGGACAGAGAAAGCCATAAATAACCTTAATTTTTAATTTTGATTGATCCACGTATAAATGCAATATATTAATTAAATTATGGCGTAAAACTGCGTGCTACAGATCCGTAGCACTATGACTCGAGGGAAAGAGCTTGAGATGTTCATATAATAATGTCACAAAACGTATTATTAAATGTTGCAATTTTTTGATGGCAAAGAAATAACATTTTTATTTACAATACCTACGGTATTGTGGCGCGTTTCTCCGAAGTATCGGCGTGATATTCGATACAGGACACGTTTCCACGCATAAATAACAAATGTTTCGCCGTATCCATTAAGGAGTCAACGGCCATGTATCCGAGCAATATTCCTGGATACCGCGGGGTCGTATTCGGCCAGCGTAACGGGCACGTGCGTACGTACGATATTCCGCACGAAAAGGAACTCGATTCGATTCCCCACGGTTAAAGGGCCATCGCGGTACCGCGCGGGCCGCAATTTATTATTTTATCATTGTCCCGCGATAGCCGCACATACGAACGTTTATTCTCATATAGGTACGCTGTAATCCCGTGTGCGCGTTGGGTCGGCGATACGCCGTATAAAATTGTACGTATCGCGCGTCGATATTCTTCGCGTCTACGTGCCCGTATTTCAAATCACCGGCTCCCGTATCCCTCGCCGCTGCCGCGCGCGCCGCGGAAAACAAAGCCTCTGAGCGGAAAGAGCGGACGTATAAATCGAAACTGCTCGCGTTTCACGATCACGGATTCTTCCTCAATCTCGCGCGATACGAAATGCCGCATGATTTCGCTTACGTCGTTCGGATACGCTTTGCATAATTGATCCGGCAAGCCGCAACATGAATTAAGCATGAATTAGGTCCACGACGATGGTACATGGAGGGGGGGGAAAAAAGAGAGAAAGGAAACACGGTGCGGAATCTCATTTGCGGGAGCTCGATAAAATGAAACTTACGACACACAGTATTTATTGGATCTATAAGAAAATTCCGTCCGCGTCATATTTGATCTTCTCATATAATAAATTGCGAATCTACGAATAAGATT